TAACTAAAAAAAATTCCAACTTCCGATCGAAAGAAAAGATCCTCCATCGATCCTTGAGAATAAAGATATTTTTCTCGACGACGACTTTGAATCTTTTCAATTAGAACCTGAGGAAAGTTCAGAGATCCAATAAATCGAAGGAAAAGAAAAAAATCCTCCATCGATCCTTGAGAATAATATATTTTTCTCGACGACAATTTTGAACTGTTTATCTAAAAAAAATTCCAACTTCCGATCGAAAGAAAAGATCCTCCATCGATCCTTGAAAATAATATATTTTTCTCGACGACAACTTTGAATCTTTTCAATTAGAACATGAGGAAACTTCAGAGATCCAATTAATCGAAGGAAAAGAAAAAAATCCTCCATCGATCCTTGAGAATAATATATTTTTCTCGACGACAACTTTGAATCTTTTCAATTAGAACATGAGGAAACTTCAGAGATCCAATTAATCGAAGGAAAAGAAAAAAATCCTCCATCGATCCTTGAGATATGTTTTTCTCCACGACAATTTTGAATCCGTTTAACTCGAATCTCAGAAAAGTTCAGAGATCCAACTAATCGAAGGAAAAAGAAAAGCTCCTCCATCGATCCTTGAACATAATATATTTTTCTCGACGACAATTTTGAACTGTTAACCAAGAAAAATTCCAACTTCCGATCGAAAGAAAAGATCCTCCATCGATCCTTGAAAATAATATATTTTTCTCGACGACAATTTTGAACTGTTAACCAAGAAAAATTCCAACTTCCGATCGAAAGAAAAGATCCTCCATCGATCCTTGAGAATAAAGATATTTTTCTCGACGACGACTTTGACTCTGTTTAACCGAGAAAAGTTTAGAGATCCAACTAATCGAAGGAAAAAGAAAAGATCCTCCATCGATCCTTGAGAATAAAGATATTTTTCTCGACGACGACTTTGACTCTGTTTAACCGAGAAAAGTTTAGAGATCCAACTAATCGAAGGAAAAGATCTTCCATCGATCCTCGAGAACGATATGTTTTTCTCCACGACAACTTTGAATCCGTTCAACTCGAATCTGAGAAAAGAGATGCAATTTCCGATCGAAGGGAAAGGAAAGGATGGGCGAAGCGAGATTTTGTTTTCGAAAAAAAAAAAAAAAAAAAGAAAAAAAAGGAAAGCGATGGACGATGATCGAGGGAACGTGGGCGACGCCTGCTGCGGGGGACGCCCGTCGTACAAAACAGAGTCTTTAGGTCTCCTTAGCACTGTCGAACGGGTCCTGTAACACGGGAAGGAAGCGTGACGGACGCGGGACGCAGCGGACACGGTGCCATAAACGCATTACAGCCGGAACGAATCGTCTCTCTGTTAGCCTCGAAATTGGGGAAACTCTCTCCCGTGCACGGTCGCGCGACTTGCTACGCCCGCCTCGCTCTCCCTCTCATTGTCCGTGGAACGGTCCGGATAAATGGGCGAAATTTGCGACGATGACCGTGGAAGCACCGAACGAGATAAAGGAGGCGCGGTCTCAACGAGTAAATATATGGACGGCTCGTTGATAGCCTTGCGTTGGCCAAAAGGGACCTCAACTTCCGCTCCCTCCATTCTCTCTCCCTTTTTGTTTTATTTTGATTGTTTAGGCAGGTGAATCGTAGTTGTTGAATCACTACTATTATAATCGGATTACGATAATGAAACGACGATACAAAGTGTCTAGACCTGTATGGTACTGATTTTCAAAGGTATACCTTTTTCACAGGATTACTGGAAATCCTTTTAAGTTGCATTTACTTAAAATTTTCTTTTTCCTTTTTTCTCTCGTTTAAATAGTTTGCTTTTTAGAATCGTTTTCGAGAAAATATTTTTTTTGTCCGAGGGGGAATTATTAAAAAAAAAAAAAAAAAAAAAAAAAAATAGGAAAAGAAAGAAAAGAGAAATGCGATAGAAATGTAATAATTCGTATATTTTGCGGTTGTTTTATTTATCGTCGTCGAGTTGCAGAGTCGTTTTCGAAAGCAATTTTCGGCAGCTGTGGGCCTGTCGAGGGCACACGGTCAGGCGAGAAGTAAAATCCTAAGAGAATACAATTGAGGTTTCCGAGGATGGGTGAAGAGGGACGTAGAAGGGGCGTACTGTTGGTTCCATAAACACCCGCAAAACCCAACCTCCAAGTTGCCTCGAGGAATGTCTCTATTGCGGATGACTGATGGCCTAAAATTCGGTAACGATTAGGTCCTCTCGACTCACCGTTCCCATCTCGTGGAAATTTGTTTTTAATCCCATCTAGCTTCCGTTCCAATTTCGACGCCTTCGTAGATAACAAGATGGGACAATTTTTCCTTCTACGTCTCGTTCGAAACTATTAATTACTATTACGTGCGAAACTAGATCGTTATTGTCGTCGAAGACGATGATCGTCTTCTTATTCTTAAAAACGTTGGAAACCAGAAACCCAGAAACTTGGAAAACAGATCTATTCAATCTCTGGAAAAGCACCACCAATAAATTAATTCGTCAATAACGTGACGAATGCCCGTCGACACGGCGTCGATTAGTTAAAGTCTCTCGAAAGAGGCCGTAATTTTTGCGTCGAAAGAAGACTCGGAGGATATCTCGAAGGAGACAAATTCCAGAACGAACGACCCCCTGCGAGTTTCGAGGTCGAGCCGCGGGGGGTTGGCAGCCATGATGAGCCGACGCTTCTTCTCGAAAGCGTGTTCCTCCTCTGCGACCCAGCGCATCTACTCCCCTCCTTTTTTTCTTCTTTTTTTTTTTTTTTCCCCTCTCTCCTTTAGAGAAGCCGACAGGATCCCACCGTGCCGATAACGCTTCTCCCTTTGTTCGTCGAATTTGTATTTTTAAGCGTCGACCCACCGTTTGGCAAGCAAGAGGTTTCTCCGCGCAGACTTTGAGGTTTCGCCTCCGCACAGCTTCCGACACGAATTGACGAATTCTTGCAGAAACCGGATCTCTCGATTTTGCGGGATAACGAGTTTCTTCTTTTTACAAGCGATTTGAAAGTCGAGCTTTCGAGCAGCTCTTTTAAAGAAAGGCCTGGAGAGAAAGGAAATGGAGTAAGATGAAGTTAAATTACCTATTTACCGGGTATTAGTTCCGGTTTCGACGCGGAGGAAGAATTTAGCAAATATCGGAGATTGGGAACGATTGAAATTTGAAAGTGAGATTGGCGTATCAGAATTGGAAATTTGGGATCGCGAGTTTTCCAGAGATTTGCCTCGATCCAAGCTTTGGCTCGATGATGATACAAGCGTGTACCGGGCTAAAAATATGAAAACCAGAATAGCCCAGGCTGCGGCACCGGTGCGGTACTCCGCTGCCGTGGAACAAGTATATAACACGAAAATAACTTGTTGCGAAGAAGTGTTACCTCCGTGTGTTTACCTCGAGACGAACAACACAATAACGAAGAATATCGATCGTCTCTTCACCGCTCGCTTCTTCCTTTCATCCATTCCGAACGGAACGAACGGCCGTGGTATTCTCGCCGTGGTTGGAAAAATTAACGCTTCTTCGGTCGAAGATGGAGAATCCCAAGGAACAGCTTTTTTTCCCCCCTCCCCTATTCTATTTTCCGTTCCCAGTACTCGAGAAACGAACGAAACCGTTTCAATATCCCGCCCCGGGATAAGGTTTCTGCGTGACAATTTGATCGACAACAATGGTCGGGGCAGGTCAAGCGACGATGGAGATCGGCCCTCGCATTCGGTCGAATCTTTTGGTAATTTGTTCGGGTTTTTAGATTCGCTCTCCTTCTCCGTCCTTCCATTTTCGCCCTCCGCACGGAGGAACGCTTTCCTCGCCGCGCAAACAAAGCGCGACACACTCGGTTCCGCTTCCTTTCCCATGAAAGCAGGCGACTTCTGTGTGTAATCAAACGCGACACGCCCCCGTTGGAGCTTTTCACTCCGGGCTAAAGATTAACGCGCGGAGAAGGGGCCTCCAAGTCTCCGAGTCTACACGTTCAACCTCGATCCAGCGAGCGTTTCGAGCGTTCGAAGAGAGAGTCGGATAGATCCAGTTGGAAATGAATATTTTCCAATTCGATTTTTTCGGTCCATGGATCGATCACCAAGGTACGCGCAATTTTCGTACGAGACGCACAGAGCGCATCTCTCCTTTATTAATTCCTTTTCTCTCCTCTTCTTTTCTTCTTCTTTTTTTTCTTTTCAATCTCAGGAGGGTGATCGCGTTAACCGAAGGATCGAATTAATTAATTAATTAAAAGGCGCGAATCGATGTTTGCGCGACGACCAGAGTGTATGTGTATGTACATATATATATATATATTCATCCCTTAACTAGAATCCTGGCAGACCGAACCGGAACGATTCGAGCGCGCTTCCGTTCCACCGTCAAAGACAACGAACCGTGGAACAACAATTTTTTTCCACCGCTCTCGTCTCCATTTCCTATTACACTCGTATGATAGCGCGCGCCGAATAAAATTCTAGACAGCGTGGCACGGCAAGAAACAAGCGTGCAGCCGTGCAAAAGGGAAAGAGGGTTGGATGGCGCAGAGGGAGAGGGGGA